ATAATTATGTTGTGTTATTGGATTGAGTGGTAGTAGATGTGATAATATTTTATTTATTGCTTAAAGATTATAAATTTCAATGGGTTATGTTAGTATTTATTTTTGTTCAGAGGCATTTATATATATGTTGTTATTTTGGGGAGTTTTTACATATATTTTTATGACAGTTCCATTAATATAGATGATATGATCGACAGGGGTGCAACTTGAGCGGGCAAATATGATTTCAACCTGAGCCAACCCAAAAAATTAGGGTTTGAGTTAGAATTTTTAATACTTTAGCTGGGCTTAGGTTAAAAAAACTCCAACCTGAATTCAATTTGGGCAGGTCTCAGGTTGAGACATAGGGTTCACGGGTTGAACCCGAATATTAAAATCGGACTCACCCGATTTAATAGTCAGGTTCAACCCGAATTAATATTATATAAATACTATTTTATCCTAGGATTACTATCTACTTTGTGCCTCCCTCTCTCAGAACCCTCACTCACACTCACTCTCAGTCTCACTCTCACTCTCAATCTCTCTCATTCTCACTCTCAATCTCTCTCATTCTCACTCTCATATCTATCTCAGCCCTCAGCCTCCTTTCGAATGAGTCCTTTGCCTTCGTTAGAGTCTAAGTCCTCTCAGCCTCCTTCGTCTTTGCCTCTCTTTCTCAAAGTCTTAGCCCTCTCAGCCTCCTTTGTTTTCGCCTCTCTCTCTCTCAAAGTCACAGCCTTCTCTGAGCCTCCTTCGTCATCTTAGATTAGATCTCATCTCAGATCAAAAACTCAGATTTCATCTCAGAGCAGATCTACTATCTACGTCTATCCCTTCATCGACGTTATATCAGGTATGTAATTTTCATTTTTATTTTCAAATTTTCAGAGTTAATTTTGAGACCTCTTTTTCATTCTTGGATACAATTTTTTCAGAATTAATTTTCAGAGTTTATTTTCACTCTCAAATGCAATTTTCTACACCTCTTTTCCAACCTGTTATGACATTAAACTTTTTGTCCTCTTTTGATCCTTTTTTTTCACAATCAAACGATGCATTAAGAATTTCTTTGGAAGTATATCATTCTAAAATTATTTTTTTAGATTTTATTCAAGTCTAATATTTCACTTTTAGATGCACAAATTGATCATTTTTCTGTTCTTTGATTTTATGACACAATAAATCAATATATGTCACTAATGGACGAGACAAAAACAAATGCTGAATCTCTGACTAATCTTACATCTGAGCCGCTTTTGTTTGTGTTCTATTTATTTATGTTAAACTGGCTCTGTGCAAGGATTCTGGTTGTTCTAATGATGTCAGTTGTGCAAAGATTTTATTTAAGCAATGAACTCTATGTTTGTGTAAGAATTCTGGTTGTGTTTATTTGCGTTATGTATACTTGTGGCTGCATTATCTCAAACATTGAGTTCTTAATGTTATGGTTTTTATGTTAAAAGCTTGATTGAAGTTATTGGTTGTTAATTTAGCTTAATATTATGTAATATATGTATTAGGTTTAGAACAACAAGCTTATTTTGGGCTCAACTCTAACTCAACTCGAATTAAACCCGTAAAATAACTCAAAATCAGCCCAAAATCATTAATTCGAATTCAACTTGTGGTAGGGTTAGGGTTAGGATTATGATTGAAGATTATACACCTAGCGTTGGGCTAGAGTTGACTGTCCAATCCACCCAAGTTGCACCCCTAATGATCGATGATATATTTCGAGTTATTTTAAAAAAGAATTAGTACAATTATTTTTTTGTGATTCCTTTTGAATTTGTGTAATTGTTTAAGATTTTTTTGTTTATTGTATAGTGTTTTCAGACATGGGTAATAATTAGTACCTTTATAATACAAGTTTATTGTATAAAAAATATACTATAAATATACGATTAATATACATTTTTGAAATTAATACGGTGTCAAATTAATTTACCAAACAAAGTATTAGACCCGATTAAATAAAAAATAGTACAATCTAATATTTAATCCCCTTATAATACGTCTACCAAACCATATTATGTATAAATTAATTTCATATAAAAATACAATAATAAAATATGTATATATATATATATATATATATATATATATATATATATATATATAATTTTAAAAATAAAAATAAAAATTTTAAATTAAAAAACATATTTTTTCTATTTTAATTAGGCGTGAAAATTTTTGACTCAATACGATTACACGACTAGAAATTAATTCAAATTTTATGATACGAACTTAATCATAATTAACACGAATTTAAAAATAACCTGACATACGAACAATAAATATAAAAGACTCATATTCAGTTCAACCAGTGAAACTCAAAATTGACACCATCAACCCGTTTATTTAAAAATAAATTATTTTTCTATTTTCTCGTTTGTAAGGTAACACAAAATTAACACGAAACTAACATGTTTAACTAATATTATAAACATATAAAATGTTAATTATTTGTAACTATTTATTAAACACTAACATATATATTATATAAAAAAGATATTTTTACTTATTATTATTATATTTATTTAAATTAATTTTTAGTTTGTACAAAAAATATTATCATGGATTCAATTAAGTGAAAATAGAATATTAGCGTTAAATTTTTTATTTAAAGTTTATGTGGGATCAACATGAATACGAATACGAATACGACACGAAAAATAAACAGGTCAACTTGCAACTCGACACGACATAATTAGTTAAATGAGTTAACTTAGGTTTGACTAATATTCGACACAAACCCGTAATGACTCAATACGAATCTGACACGACACGATTCGATTGTCACCTCTAATCTTAGCCAGCACCAAAAAAAAAAAAATTGTCATTTTTATTTTTCATCCGTCCAATCAAACACAAAGAAAGGAAAATGTATCATTTCTATTTTCCTCCTTATCAAACAAAGCATAAAGTTAGAATTTATTCTTTTATCATTATTAACAAATTTGCATTACATTCATGTTCCCCACACCGAAAAAACAACTGTAAGTACTAAATTTTGTTCTACTGTGTCAGTTTTAGATCATCTATTATATATTAATGGAGGGTCATTTGAACAAAATGGATTTTACTTAGATCAATAATTCCTAATACTTTTTTGAATATCATTTAAATACACGATGAAAATCGAAGATTGTATCATATGAATACACAATATTAATAAATGACAGAAATTGAAATTTCTATTACGATGAGTGATCTCGAATGAAGAAAATCTAAAATTAATGTTGTCAATAAATCATATCGTGTATAAGTTATGTGGGGTCAAAATTTACCGAATACATAGTCAATTAATTTACAATTTGTATACAAAGATTCGTATTGTGTATAAATCATGATTTGTATGGCGCATAGCCGACGAACTAATTTTTAAATAAACACAATTATAATTTTGAGGGCACTAGTTTTGATAAAAAAAAACATGATGACAGTGTTAACATGCACTAAATGTTCGTGGAAAAAAAAGACAGGTGTGTCAAATGCTTAAACTGGAGATACAATGAGTCTACCCATACGTCATTTGACTCTATTAAGGTTAATCCAAATTCATTAATTCTATATTAACTTCCTATCAAATTCACGAAACATATAATTTCATAATGAAGAATGCTATTGTAAGCAGTTCTATTCTCCTTTACAGAAGAATTACCTCTTGTCCCATGTCGAGAGAGAGTCGTCTCTCCTATTGTCATATAAATAACCACTTACTTATATGACAGGGGGAAGACGACTCTCTCCCATGTGAAATGAGAGGTAAAGATTATTGAGTGATCACTTAAGTCAGTCAGAATCCTTTCGTAGAAGAGAATAAAATCCCTTACAGCTATAATTTTGAAAAAACCTTTACTATTGTACCGTCATATACATTATTTAAGACTTTTTATTTAGCCTTTTGAGATCATATATGACGTGTGAGATTTTTTTCATTCCATCGTAGATAATTATAATTGATCTTAATATTTTAAGATAAATCCTAAAATTGTTAAAATTAATCAGAAATCTCAAAAAAATTTTAACTTGAGCGATTATTCCAAAATTTATAATTTTTATTTAATATTTTAAAATAAATTTTAATTTTTTTCACTTATAATTAGACCCCATAAAAATTATAAACTTCCGTACTATATTCGGTAGCGAAGACAAATCCAAAAACAGTAAGGAAGATCCGAGTCCAGGGGATTTGAGTTCATTTAGAATTGGAGCGCGTCACGGAGGGAATATACCTGTGTGAAGATAAATAGATGCCTCCATTCAAAGAAACCAGATGTTGCCACGTGTCTCACGAGCTGGCAACCAATCGAGCCAACGAGCTATGGCTCTCCTCCCCCTCTTCCTCCTCCTGCTTCATCACCTGTATCTTCGTCTCTGAAAGTTCTCTCTCTCCCTCCCTCCCTCCACTTCTACAAATATATCCACGCCTATACATATGTTTATAATTTATCTACATTGATCTCAAAATTGGAGTTGCGGGCCACTAACGAAGGACGAAAATTTCAAAAAGGTGGAGACAAAGAAGATTAGTGTTCTTTGATTAGGGCTTCGTGATTTGGGTTTCTGTTTTTCATGGAGTTTGTGCCAGTCAGAATCGCCATTGAAGGTACTGTTTCCTGTTTCTCCGGTTACACATATATTCGGTATACATGATTCCTATTAAATTGCGAATGTTTATCAGAGAATTAGGGTTTTTTCGTGGTATTTTGATGGTGATTTGGAAAAATCTGAGCTGAATTATTGTCATGGTGTCAGGATTCGTTGATTTTGGTGTTTTATTTTGATTCTTAATCGAAAATCCCAGATTTTTAATAGTTATTTGCCTGTGAATTGGGGATTTTGAGCTGAATTTTGGCGTATAATTTGGTTCAAATATAGTTGAATTTTTTTTATTGGGTTTATTAACTGATATATCATTTGCTATGTGTGTTATCAGGGATTTGATGATTTGTGCTAGAAACTCTACGATTTTTGGCAGTACTTGTCAACTTTTGGCTAGAAATCAATTACTCTCTGACAGTGAAACTATAAGTATTGCTTTTTGCGTAGTGGGTTTGGTATGAAGGAAATTGGAAGCAATTGGATAAGAGTAGTAATCCATGTGTAATAAAGGAATTGAATGCCTAAAAAGGGAATCATCATTTCTGCTCGAGGTCACCCAAATTGGTAATCAGCAGGAGGAGCATCAAGCTGTCTACTTGATGGACAGCCCTACATTGACCCCAGGCTCAATCCCGAGTTCTAATGATGAAAGCCCACGTGTTAAGTTTTTATGTAGTTTTTCAGGTAGTATATTGCCGCGACCACAAGATGGGAAGCTGAGGTACGTGGGTGGTGAGACGCGGATTGTGAGTGTTCCACGCGATATTACTTATGAGGAGTTGATGGGGAAGATGAGGGAGCTCTTTGAAGGGGTCATAATGTTGAAGTATCAGCAGCCTGACGAGGACCTTGATGCTCTTGTGTCAGTTGTGAATGACGATGATGTGACAAACATGATGGAGGAGTATGATAAGTTAGGTTCTGGTGATGGGTTCACTAGACTAAGGATTTTTCTTTTCTCGCCTCTTGATCAAGATGGATCTGTGAATTTTGTGATGGGGATGAAAGGGACAATGAGAGGAGGTACGTGGATGCTTTGAACAGCCTTAATGAATCCCCAGACTTTAGGAAGCAGCAGCTTACTGAGTCCCTGATAACTAGTCCAGTGGATGATATCCTTGCTGCAGAACAATATTTTAATCAGATGAGTCTTGAGGGTGGCCTCCATAATCAGAGAAACTTTGAGATGCCTATGCACAAATTAATTTGCGTCACCTCACAATTCCTCATATGGGTTCAGGACAGCTCCAACATTCTATTCCCCAGAGGTATAATGAAATGGAGAGTCCATGGAGTCCTGCGTACTACTCCCCTAGGCAACCCGGACACCATGATCCAAGGCCAGTGGCGGAGGTGCCAACTTCACCTTCTTCTGCTCGTCACCGTACCCCATACGGGGAGTTTTCTGACCGAAGTTTTGATAGAATGTCAGAGGAATACAGTCGACAGCAAGGGATTCATCAATCCCCATATGACCACCAGCCACAGTTTATGGACAATGTCGTATTGTTCCCAGGTGGACCTGCATCTGGCGATATGGCAGGTTTTCCAGGTAACATACGTCATGGCCCCAATGTTTTTTGACGGAAACAGTATCTGCGAGCACTGCCGAATGACTTTCCAAAGGAATCAACCTTATCCCGATTCCCCTTGGAAGCTCGGAGAACAACCACATCTGGAGCCACCCAACTTGGGGAATGGATTTCATCCGGTTGCTAACTCATGTGCTGAATGTCATCCAAATAGGGAAAGTTTCATGTTGACAGACACAAACATGCACCATCCATTCTACCCTAGGGAGCAGAGTGATCCTCGATGCCTCTATAATGAAAATCACAATCAGGAAAGAGGTTGGATTCTACCACATCAGATGAATACTCGGCCTGAGGAACCAAGATCACATGTTGCTGGAGCTGGAAGTTAACTGATCACTACACTCTGGATAGTAACGGTTTGAATATTCCTCTTGTGCGTGGTAATCTATTAGATGGTTATCATGTGCCCTCACATTTTGTCCATCATGATGACCCACGGTACATCCAAGCTGGGCCTGAATATTAGGGAATCAAGTGTTTCATGACCAAGCTGTGGGCATTGGGGTCTCACATCCACACTCCTCCTCAGGAAGATCGAGGAGTTGGTTCGGTATGGCAATTTGCCTTATGCTCATGGAGTGGATAACCTTTACCAAGTGTCACATGGACATTTACCTGCACATGCTTTGGTGAGAAATGCTTATGACCCTGTGCATGGGGCTCCCACTTAGATGATGCATCTGGTTTACCTCAGCTAGCAAATGTTTCGGTCAGTCCAGGGTTCATCAGGGGTCCACTGGAGGTAGGTATCCGCAGGTTGCAGGTTGGGGCAGAAAATCAGAACTTATGGGTTGAGTCCTCACAGAAATAATGGGGTTTGATGGGTCTGCTGCTCCAGAACATTCTCATTGCCATGCCCTTAATACCGACGCCAAACACTTATAGTCAGGAGAATCAGCAGTTGGTTAGTCCGATCACATCGAATCCTCTCCAGACATGTTAAACCTACTGATTTTTACAGATGCTGCACTGCAGGCTGATTCAGCACCAGTGTTGGCTGACAGTAAGTTGGTCTCTTTTACTGCTTCTGGTCCAGAATCAAGTGAAGTGATGCTAACGTTACTGAATTAGTCAGCAGATGGAGGAGCAAAGTGTTCATGGAGGTGCAAAAGAAACAAATCATGAAGAGAAGTTGAAGAGTCTAATATACAGAGTG